TCCGGCTCATGACGAGACGCCTCTCTACTATCTTCCACCTCCCGGTTCATATGATGTTATGCCTCCACCCGAGCCGACTCGGGCCCCTCCAACCGACTTAGAAAAGATCGTGGCAAAATTGGAGGAGGACGCTCAATCCCTTCGTGCTTCATTGACCTCTCTATCCGAAAAAGAAGAAACCGAATCCTTCACTTCTCCCTCTCCGGCCTTTGAGCACCCATCGGTTGGCCAACCTCGTTCATCTAGTCTTGGAGCTTCATTTCATTCCGAGGTTGGGCCGATCGATCGTCACCAAGAAGTTTTGGCGAGAACTCAAGACGCACTCGCGAGCCTCGCGTCGATCATCGAGGAGTTCAATAGTTGGAGGTGCATCCCGATTCCATCCGCTCTCCGTGCTACACTTGAGAAGTTCGACTCCACCGTGGTGTCTTTTCTCGACTTGGATTCATCTTCTATTCCGCTTGGTAGATATTCTACTCTATCGGCGAAGATTATTCGAGAGAGCACTCGATTAGAGAGCGTATTTCGTGTTATGGTGGATCGTTTTGCTTCCTTGAAAGAGAAGGGCCTCACTCCCGTGTACGATGGGACTCAACCTCTAGATACGAGTGAGGACACCGATGAGATTATTGTCGAAGAACTTCCTCCTTGTGATGACGTGGACTTGCACTCTACACTAGGTACGTCAAGAACTTTTTCCGTTGATGGTGCTTCGGGTTTTGATTCGATTATTGAGGAGGAGAGTATGGATTCAGAAGTTGATGTTGAGGATGGATTGAGAGATAATTCAATTGAGGATTTGAGTGAGCCGAGGGGTAATGAAGGTGTTGGTGATGAGGAGGAGGATGATGATGGTAGTGAGGAGGAATCCGAGCATTTAGATGATGTTGTTGAGCCGGATTTGCCGTGTGTGGATGAGATGCCTTGGGATGTTGAGAATGAGGTGGTTCCCATGTCCTTTGGGTAGTCGTTTCGTGTTATTGATGATCGTGACCATTTGAAGGAGTTTAGTGTGCCTACGCCCGTACTCCCGATGCTTGAGCTTGATGAGTACACG